CTTGGGCTGTCAGACTCTTGGGCTGTCAGACTCTTAAACACAACCACAATCACTCTACGCACACGCGGAAATGCATGACTAGTTTTTCTTTCTTTTTCTCTCTCTCCCACCCCCAATTACTTGCATAGGGATTATTCTTTATACTATTTATGTTGTTTGTATTTGTTGTCATGGATTGCACCAGTGAGGCTAAAACCAATTTCATTGTATTCATGGTATACAATGACAATAAAGGCTATGCTATAACATGTTTGAGAAGCCCTTTTGAAAATTATCTTGAAAGCAGCTCCTTCAACTTTATTTCCGATCAATTCTTTTTTCCAGCATTGAGAGGGCCTCACAGAATCATGGGGCTGGAAGGGGCTTTGGAGGTCTTCTAGTCCAACCCCCAGGAGTCCTTATACCATCCCGGACAAAAGCAGCCTCCCTGCTCTCCCAAGGAAAGGGAAACTTTCTAACCCCGCTGCTGTGTCTTCCTTTTCGGCAGTTGCTGCATAGCCTCCCGGATGAGCTGCGTGCCGATATCGCCCTGCATCTTCACAAGGAACTGCTCCAGCTGCCCATCTTTGAGGGGGCAAGCCGTGGCTGCCGGCGTTCCCTTTCGCTCACCGTCCGGACTTCTTTCTGCACGCCGGGGGAATACCTGATCCGGCAGGGAGATGCGCTCCAGGCTCTGTATCTCATCTGCTCAGGCTCAATGGAGGTGCTGAAAGATGGCACCGTGCTTGCCATCCTAGGTAATACCTGCTTCCCCTTCGGTCCTTGCTCTTTCCCCTTCCCATGTTGTAAGTCTGGGAGACTGCGAAGTTTCAAAAAGTTGGCTGTTTCTCAAAAGTTTTGGTTTCTCAAAAACTTGAGAAAACTACTGCAGCCTCAAGCTTGGTGAAGACAACACAGTCATGGTGTCCCCACATCTTGGTGTGCCCAGAGTAATAAACCGTATCCCAACTTACAGCCTGTTTCTCCTAGCAATTGAAACAATGGCAATTCCCATGACACAATGAACCACAAATTACCCAAGCCCATTTAACCTAGACTTGAAATATGGTGTGTGAATCCAGGTGTAATGGGAGAAGTTCTAAATGCTCATGTTCTGGAATTTTGCACAGAGAAAAAGGTTTCTATATCCAGAATAAGATGGGAATAGAGGCCTGAATGTTCATTTTGTCATGCTGTCCACCCCCCTCCTCCCCAATGTAAAGGTGATATTCAGCCAGTTCTGAACGGTTCTAGCGAACCAGTAGCAGAAATTTTGAGTAGTTTGGGGAACCAGGAAATTCCACCTCTGGCTGGCCCCGCCCCCATCTCTTCACTGCCTCCTGAGTCCCAGCTGGTCAGCTGGGCCTTCTTCTGTTGCTCTGCACAGGAGAACAGAGCTGGAAAGCAGGTTAGTGGGGTGGGAAAGAAATGAAGATTTTGCAATAACCTTCCCCTGGAATGGGGTGGAAATGGGGATTTTACAGTATCCTTCCCCTGCTACACCCACCAAGCCATGCCATGCACACAGAATTGGTAGTAAAAAAATTTGAATCCCATCACTGGTCACAACTGGCTTGAAGGTGCTCGCAGAAAAAATTACCTCATCATACTTTGGTGTAGCAAGTGCAGGAGCCTATGTTGGGTAATAGACTCAACATTTCAACAAGACTTCAAATTTTTTGCCTTTTATTATTGCTTTTTTAAATGAGCTCTTTCTGCTCTGCTTTCTTTTTCTATCCTATCCTGCTCATCCCCATGCTGCTTTCGATTTGGGGTTTTCGATGAGCCTCTTTACAGAACAAGAGTCTGAAGGGGCTTCCATTTTGTTCCCCTTGATGAAGGGTTCATACCTTTAGCTCTTTTCCTTGTAGGGAAGGGAGACTTGATTGGTTGCCACATCTCATCCAAGGAACCGGGGGTCCAGGCCAATGCAGACGTGCGGGGCCTCACCTACTGCGACCTGCAGTGCCTGAGCTTGCCTGGCCTGCTGGCTAGTCTGGAGCTCTACCCAGAATTTGCCAGCAAATTCCTCCGTGAACTTCCTTGTGAACTCAGCTACAACCTGGGTAGAGGCAGCGTCTTCCAGGTGAGCGGAGCAGGGCGATAGAGAAATCTGTGTTATTATTGGATAACAAATTGCCATTGCCACATTCTGGGTGCAGTAGTGATTCATTCAGTTATCGTGCCAGGCAGGGCTCTGGGGGGTAAATCCAAGTACAAATTATTATTTATCATATGGCACCATCCACATCACGTTTCAATAAAAAACACAAGAGATGAAAATACAAAATATAAAGTGTTATAAACGTATGTCTAGATTACAGATGACATTGTATGCTTCGTTTGTCACAGCCAGGAAATCAGCAAAGTTTCCATTATAGGCTCTATTTTGGCACTCTGCTACTGTATGTTGTATAGCCAATCCAATTACAAAATGCAATTTGGGAGAACAAGAGTCAAATAAAAAAAAGAGAGTTGGTTTACTTGAAATTAGTAAAAGATTGTAGGCACAGTGGCACAGGCTACTTCTGCTGACTGCCATCTGCCTGCAATTTGACAGTTCAAATCCCACCAGGCTCAAGGTTGACTCAGCTTTCCATCATTCTGAGGTGGGTAAAATAGCAATAGCAATAGCAGTTAGACTTATATACCGCTTCATAGGGCTTTCAGCCCTCTCTAAGCGGTTTACAGAGTCAGCATA